GGCAGGAAAAACACTACAGAGATGTCCAGTTTAGTGGAGAAGGACAGAGGAGAACTTAACCAGCACACAGGAGGAACAGACCACGACCAAACGGTCATCTGTATTTATTTTCACGTGAACTAAAGAAAGCAGTGTACACGAAAACACGAAACCTGCTGAGATCCATTCTTACAACTCAACTCCAGCCTGAGGGAGCGTTAGCCGACCTAGCTGATCCGAGCTAAACAGGTATCGTGTTTATGGTTTTCTATGTCTTTTATAATGTTTTTGTTTATTACACTAGAAATCTGTTGCGTATATTTTATTACAAGTGCCTTTCAGCTACTTTACTTAACAGGTGTCGCCCACAGCCTACAGTGAACCTGTTTATACAGCCCAGTTTAGCTGCTGTGTTGGAGTTAACCAACGATCGTGAACGGCTGTGATACAAGAAATCTAGTCTAATACAGGCTCTTCATCAACTCTGCACAGTGATTCTGTCGCAGTGCCGTTATTTAGGCTGATTGGCCTGATCTGATCCCTCCCCATCTCCCTGCCCTCTCTCTCTCTCTCTCTCTCTCTTTCTCTGTCTCTGTCTGTCTGCCCTCCCTTTTAATGAACTACTCATTTACTCTTACTTGAGTAATTTTATTGACTAATTTACAGGACTTTTCACTATTCTTTACACCCCTGCTGGTCTCCTATAACAAGGGTTCCAGGTTTGAATCCACTGCTGGGTGAGCTATACTTTCATGCACAAATGACAAGTGAAGCCTGACAGGCCTCCCATTCTACCCACATACAGTAAATGCAGACACAGTGGCAGTTTTGGAAGTTTAATAAAGAAAGGAATGAATCGATGTACTAAATACAACAATGCTGTTAGTGTCACAGCATACAATATACTTATAACATTATTTGGCTGTTCATGAAGCTTTCTGTTATATTCAGAGTCACAGAGACTCAACAATGTGGATATAAAGCAGTTCTGCAGTGATTTCCAGGTTCAGTCCTACAGGAACCCAGTTTAGTGTTTCCTGCATCTGATTCACATCATTAGCTAATGATCAAGTCCTTCTAGAGCTGAATCAGGTGTGATGGAGCAGGAATAAACTAAACTGTGCAGTGCAGGTGGACTACAGGACCTTAGTGGAAACACTGATCTAGAAGATGAGCTTTGAGCTCCAGCTGGAAGACTGCAGTGGATTACAATGAGGAGAGCTGTAAAACATTTTGGAAAGATAGAATTTCAGAGTAATGTGGTGATTTAAAATGGTTTTGTAATATGAGGAGGTCTAGATTCATTACTGTTGTTCTGCTATATATTCAGAATACTTCATTATTTAATGGAGTTACATTATTACATTTAATTTTCCAGGTTTGAGTTTGTGTTTGTGTTGCAGTCCCTACTTTTCTTGAAAAAGATACTAAAACCATCTAAGGGATGATTTTTCTTTCCACAAAATAAAAACTATATCTGCAACAACAACATTTCTTTAAAAACCATCATGATATTGTCGGCTGACAAACAGAAAAGTGATATCAACGGTAATCATTTAAAACTTGAAAAATTACTTTGAATTGCGTAAAGTCACGCTGCGTGCACCATAAGGAAGTCAGAATCCAGCATAGAGAGGCTGAGTGAAGGTGGTGTGGACTGTGTGTAGGAGGGTCATTGTGTCAGAGACGCTGTAGAAGGACAGAGTTCCTGCTCTGTGATCCACATACACTCCTATTCTGGAGGAGGACGGGGCTGAGATCTTAGTTACAGTGTTGTTGTGATAGAAGAAGAGAGAGGAAGAACAGCGAAGACTCCAGGACTGACTGTTGCGTCCAAACTTACTGTCATTACCTGATCCTTTCCTGCTGATCCCTTTATATGAGACTGATATGTACACATATCCCTCACTGCTCCACTCAACCTCCCAGTAACAGCGTCCACTCACACTCTCCTCACACAGAACCTGCCACCAGTGGTCAAATCTCTCTGGATGATCAGAGTACGGCTGGACATTCTGACTGCATCTGACCACTCTGTTCTCCTCAGACAGAATGAGGTTCTGATGTGCTGTGTTGGGATCCAGAGTCAGCTGACAGTAATCTGAATAAAAAGAAGAAGAAGAGTTGAGTTTATACTGATAGATTGTACTTCTAGTTTTTCGAACATACAACGGTGTTTGTATACTTTCTAAGAAATTCTTTGTATCTAGATAACTGTGTGTGTGTGTGTGTGTGTGTGTGTGTGTGTGTGTGTGTTACATACACTGTAGAAAGTCTTCTCTGGTTTGTGGTTCTAACAGTAAGATCTGAACTGCTGCAGCTGTGGAGACACAACACAATAAAGAACGAGCAGCTACAACACAAAGATTCAGTTTAGAACAAGATTACAGGACATTCTCACATTCATGTTCAATAAGAGCAGAACTGGAACCACTAATAGATTCATCCAGTTTTCTATGGAGACTCCAGGCACTAAAAGAAGTGAACAAACCATAAGCAGCGATAAGAGAATAAGCAGGACTGTTTTTAGTGTTTTATATTTTTGTTAGGTTTTTTCCCCCATTTCTGTAAAACTGCCTCAGTTTAAAAGGGTCTTAAGGCTTTGTAGCCCCACTGACACAAACAGAAACTGTCATAAACGTGCAGATTATAATTATTCTTTTAGTAAAAGCACGGCTGTAGAACTTGCTGGTTGTACTGATTTGCAGCACAAGCGCTGTATGTGTGAATGGTCAGTGTGTGTGAGTGGCCACTGCTACTGCATCGCTCATGTCATGCAGAATTGGCGTATGTGAAACAGGCCGTGCAAGTGACATCGCCAAACTACAACTGAAAAAAACGTCACAAATCATGAGCATTTCTGAATGTGTGACAGAAGTGAAAAATGATCCATCTTACATTCCTCAACAACATGAATATTTCTGTGTATCTCAACAGATTTTACACAATGTGTTGAACTCTTACCATGTGGAGAGATTCTGTTGAGTGTCTCTTCACAGAATTCCTCCAGTTGCTTCTTCAGATCAGACAGAGATTTGCTCACTTTATCAAATGAGAGATGTTGACTGATAGCGATGTTGGGTGAGTCTTCATATCCAGAAGAGACACAAAGAAACTGGAGACCCTATTAAAATAGAAATAAATAACATATCAAAAAATATATAACAGATGAAAATAACCAAATATTCTCAAATAAAATCTATAGGATGTCCTTTTTAATTATATTCTAAAATAAATTTGGAGGTTTTAACTTAAAAGTTAGTGTTCAAGCAGCCTTAAAATCCTGAGTTATTTGAACTTCAAATAAGATGTTTACAGGACATAAAACAGATTCTTGTTCTGCTAACTTACTATTCAAAGATCACTTAACTCAAAATTTTAAGGCAGCCTAAACAACTTTTTACTTTTTAACCTAAAACCCAGTTTGTTTTTACAGTGTATGGTGTATACAGTATCTTCATTGTTGCCTTTATTTCATTACTGAGCTGAAACTATGCAGAGAAATAAGAATGTGGGCTATGAATACAAATATAATGAATGTATAAAGAAAATTATATCTATATATATATGGTTACCTGGAGGAAATGGATGTGATCCTCTGTTTGTGAAAGCTGCTCCAGCTCAGTGTCTCTCCTCTTTAGATCAGCAATCTCCTGCGCCAGCTGTTCAATGAGCTCTTCAGCTCCACTCAGTTCAGTCTTCTCCTGAGCTCTGATCAGCTCTGTTACCTCACAGCGCTTTTTCTCAATGGAGCAGATCAGCTCAGTAAAGATCCTCTCACTGTCCTCCACTGCTGTCTGTGCAGAGCTCTGTTAGGACACACACAGACCAGATGGAGGTCCAGAGAGCAGAGAGAGAGGGCGGAGCCAAACAGGCTGTTACACTGAAGGAGAACAGTTGAGCTGTATAAAAGTGAGAAAGAGAGTTTTATTGGTACAGAAACAAACTGGGTTATTATTTGTGGCTGTTTACAGCATTTCTTGATTTTCCTCTTTGCAGAAAAACACTCTGTAATCTTATCTTCCTGTAAGGGCCCAGACTGGGGTTGGGCTGTCTGCTTGGCCACTTCAGCCACCAGAGGGAAGCACAGAGCCACTGCACCATGATTAGGGGCAATCAGTGGCACCTGTTCTTCCTCTATGTAAGGAAAGCCCACCCTAACCTTTGCACTCAGTCTTGAGTTCTCTTTTCAGAGAGTGCTACAAGTCTAAACTGGTAATTTGGTAAAGCCCCTCACATTCTCTTCTGGGTCTCCCTTCCCTCTTACTTTTCTTCACTGTGCCAGACTGAACCCCTTAAGTCTTCCTCTCAGGGTTTCTCTGGGTGTTCTTCCCTGTCTTTTTTTGTGCCCATTTTTAGGATTTAAAAAAAAAAAAAATACCCCTCAGAAAAAGTGCTGAGCTCCTCCTGTTCTCCCACTCACCCACTTGGTGTCCTCCGTTTCCAGGGTTTATCCCTTTTCAGCTCTTACATTTGAAAGATTCACCATTGTCCTCCAGTTGTCAAACCCACACTTTGTGTTGACTCTCGTTCTTAAACAGCTCTGCACTTCAATCTTTTCCTCATATACTCAGCTGGTAGCTCACTCAGTTTATACTGGTTCCCTATAATAAGGGTTCCAGGCATGAATCCACTGTTGGCTGAGCTGCACTTTCATGCACAAATGACAAGTGATGCCTGACAGGGGCCATTGTCTCTGTGTGTGTAATTGAATTCGCCCATATCTGTAAAACCTGTTCACATCAGCACTGTAGGGATCACCACCTGAAGATGCTGTAATTTATCAAGCTTCAAATGTGCAGCTGCTTTGAATAAAATATCTGCTTTTAGCATCATTTAATTGATTGAACACTTAATCACTAGAAGAGAGACTAAAGGCCTCTAAATGATCTCTGAATAACAACACTGGACCAGCAATGAAGTTAAGTACTGTTGTCTGAATACAGTCAGATACCCATAGAGATACATCTGCACATAAACACTTACACTAAGACCCAAAAAAGATGTTTTATTATTTAACATTTCATTTAGTATATTTGGACGTTTATTAAAGAAAGTAATTAAACAATTTAATAAATATTACAGAATCAAATACTTATACTGTCATTTAGTATGCAGTATTTACATGTAACATTATTTGGGTTTAAATGAATGTTTCTGTTCTATTCAGTGTATCACAGAGACTCAACAATGTGGATATAAAGCAGGTCTGCAGTGATTTCCAGGTTCAGTCCTACAGGAACCCAGTTTAGTGCTCCCTGCACCTCAGTCACATCAATAGCTAATGATCAAGTCCTTCTAGAGCTGAATCAGGTGTGATGGAGCAGGAAAAACTAAACTGTGCAGTGCAGGTGGACTACAGGACCTTAGTGGAAACACTGATCTGGAAGATGAACTTTAAGCTCCAGCTATAAGACTGCAGTGGATTACAATGAGGAGAGCTGTAAAACATTTTGGAAAGACAGAATTTCAGAGTAATGTGGTGATTTAAAATGGTTTTGTAATGTAAGGAATGTAATAATGTATTCGTTATTACATTTAATTTTCCAGGTTTGAGTTTGCATCAAAAAGATACTCAAACCATCTAAAGGATAATTTTTCTTTCCACAAAATAAAAACTATATCTGCAACAACAACATTTCATCAAAATCCATCATGATATTGTCCTCTGATAAACAGAAAAGTGGTATTGATTTAAAGTTAAAACTTGAAAAATCACTCTGAATTGCGTAAAGTCACGCTGCATACAAAAGAAGCAAGCCAGAATCCAGCATAGAGAGGCTGAGTGAAGGTGGTGTGGACTGTGTGTAGGAGGGTCATTGTGTCAGAGACGCTGTAGAAGGACAGAGTTCCTGCACTGTGATCCACATACACTCCTATTCTGGAGGAGGACGGGGCTGAGATCTTAGTCTCAATGTTGTTGTGATAGAAGGAGAGAGTAGAACCACAGCGAAGACTCCAGGACTGACTGTTGTGTCCAAACTTACTGTGGTTACCATTTCCTGTCCTGCTGATCCCTTTATATGAGACTGATATGTACACACATCCCGAAACCTCACTGCTCCAGTCAACCTCCCAGTAACAGCGTCCACTCACACTCTCCTCACACAGCACCTGCCACAAGGTGTCAAATCTCTCTGGATGATCAGAGTACGGCTGGACATTCTGACTGTATCTCACGACTCTGTTTCCATCAGACAGAATGAGGTGACGATATGCTGTATTGGGATCCAGAGTCAGCTGACAGTAATCTACAGAAGAAGAAGAAGAAGAGTTGAGTTTATACTGATAGATTGTACTTCTAGTTTTTCAGTCATATGACTGTTTGTATACTTTCTTAGAAATTCTTTATATCTAGATAATTGTGTGTGTGTGTGTGTGTGTGTGTGTGTGTGTGTGTGTGCGTGTGTGTGTGTGTGTGTTACATACACTGTAGAAAGTCTTCTCTGGTTTGTGGTTCTGACAGTAAGATCTGAACTGCTGCAGCTGTGGAGACACAATACAATAAAGAATGAGCAGCTACAACACAAAGACTCTGTTTAGAACAAGATTAGAGGACTTTCTCATTTCAAAGTTCAATAAGAGCAGAACTGGAACCACTAATAGATTCATCCAGTTTTCTATGGAGACTCCAGGTACTAAAAGAAGTGAACAAACCATAAGCAGCGATAAGAGAATAAGCAGGACTGTTTTTAGTGTTTTATATTTTTGTTAGGTTTTTCCATTTCTGTAAAACTGCCTCAGTTTAAAAGGGTCTTAAGGCTTTGTAGCCCCTCTGACACAAACGGGAACTGTCATAAACATACAGATTATAACAATTTATTCCTTTAGTAAAAGGACGGCTGTAGAACTTGCTGGTTGTAATTATTTGCAGCTCAAGTGCTGTGTGCATCACTGCATCTCTCACATCATGCAGGGTTAGTGTATGTGAAGCAGGCAGTGTGAGTGACGTCACTAAAACACAATTAAAAACGTCACAAATCATGAGCATTTCTGAATGTGTGAGTTTGAGGGGACAGAAGGAAAAACTGATCCATCTTACATTCCTCAACAACATGAATATTTCTGTGTATCTCAACAGATTTTCCACAACACAACTCAACAGAATATATAGCTAAAGCACTGAACTGTGGAGTGCTGTGTCCACCAGATATGCAGTATAACACTCCACACACACGCACTTCACTCTGCTGACCAAACAGAGACATCCAACATCATATTTCACAGCAGGACAGCTCCTCTTACCATGTGGAGAGATTCTGTTGAGTGTCTCTTCAAAGAATTCCTCAAGTTGCTTCTTCAGATCAGACAGAGATTTGCTCACTTTATCAAATGAGAGATGTTGACTGATAGTGATGTTGGGAGAGTCTTCAGACCCAGAAGAGACACAAAGAGACTGGAGACTCTATGAAAATAAAAATAAAGAACATATAGAAAAAATATATAACAGATGAAAATAACAGAGTATTCTTAAATAAAATCCACAGGACGTCCTTTTTAATTATATTCTAAAATAAATTTGGAGGTTTTAACTTAAAAGTTAGTGTTCAGGCAGCCTTAAAATCCTGAGTTATTTGAACTTCAAATAAGATGTTTATAGGGCATAAAACAGATTCTTGTTCTGCTAACTTACTATTCAAAGATCACTTAACTCAAAATTTTAATGCAGCCTAAACAACTTTTTACTTTTTAAACTAAAACCCACTTTGTTTTTACAGTATATGGTGTATACAGTGTCTTCATTGTTGCATTTGTTTCATTACTGAGCTGAAACTATGCAGAGAAATAAGAATTAGTGAGCTATAAATACAAAAATAATGAATGTATTAAGAAAATTGTATCTATCTATATATCTATCTATCTATATATATATATATATATATATATTATATGGTAATTGTTACCTGGAGGAAGTGGATGTGATCCTCTGTGTGTGAAAGCTGCTCCAGCTCAGTGTCTCTCCTCTTTAGATCAGCAATCTCCTGCTCCAGCTGTTCAATGAGCTCTTCAGCTCCACTCAGTTCAGTCTTCTCCTGAGCTCTGATCAGCTCTGTTACCTCACAGCGCTTTTTCTCAATGGAGCAGATCAGCTCAGTAAAGATCCTCTCACTGTCCTCCACTGCTGTCTGTGCAGAGCTCTGTTAGACACACACAGACCAGATGGAGGACCATTTAAAGATTGTTCACTTTATGACTGTGTAGGATCTCAAAGTGTCTTAATAGTGGTCTCAGTACTTTAGGAGAGGCTGACTGAGGGTGTGAAGTAACTGCTCCGTCATATTTCTGCTCACTACTCACCTTAATAGTGTTCACAGCCTGTTTCAGCTCCTGCAGCTTCTTCTCTTTCTCCTGGATTCTCTGCTGAGATTCTTCATGCATCTCCTTTAACTGACGCTGTGAACAAACACATTTTATTCAGATGTTTTTGAAGTATGACTTACAGGAAATTGTATTAGAGCACATGAAGAGTTAATGTTCTACCTTGTTCTACAGAAAAAGGGTGTCGGCTCATAAAATGTACACTGACTTTTCTGACTTGTTTATTACCAACATTTAGTAAGGACACATTTGTGTAACACTTCCTGAACTAGAAGACTTTCAGAAATGATTTAGAGCTCAATTTCTGTTAATCAAGCAATTCAGTTACTGAATAATGCAACAGATTTAAAATTAAAAATATAATAATCATGTATTCATTCTGAAAGACTGTAATTCTCACCTGTCTCTCAGTTCTCTCTGCTACAGCTGCAACTGTATCGTGGCCTTTGTGTTCGTGCATCGTACACAAATAGCAGATGCATGTTTGGTCAGTACGACAGTAGATCTCGATCAGTTTGTCGTGCTGAGAGCAGATCTTCTCTCGTAGTCGTGTGGAAGCTTTGACCAGCTTGTGATTTACCAAAGCAGGAATTTGAAGATGAGGTTTAAGATGAGTTTCACAAAGAGAAACCAAACAAACCAAACAGGACTTGATGGCTTTGAGTTTCCTCCCAGTGCAGAAATCGCACTCCACATCTCCAGGTCCAGCGTAACAGTGAGCAGGAGAAGCAGCTCGGAGTTCTGTCTTCTTCAGTTTCTCCACCACTTCAGCTATAACATTGTTTCTGCGTAGAACAGGCCTCGGAGTGAAAGTCTCTCTGCACTGGGGGCAGCTGTAGACCCCCCTCTGATCATCCTGATCCCAGCAGCCATTAATACACACCTTACAGTAACAGTGTCCACAGGGAATAGTTACTGGATCCTTCAGCAGATCCAGACAGACTGGACAGCTGAACTGGTCCTGATCTACTGAAATACTGGCCATTTTCCTGCACAGACTGAGAGAGAGCAGCTCTCTGAGATCAGTTTCGCTTCCTCTAAACTGAGTAGGAGTGGCTTCATGATTCTGCAGTTCAGAGAGCAGAGAGGAGGCGGAGCCAAACAGGCTGTTACATCACTGAAGGAGAAAAGTCAAGTCAAAGTCAACAGAGAGAGAGAGTTTTATTGATACAGTCAGAAACAAATGAACTGGGTTGTAGTTTGTCTCCGTTTACAACATTTACAACAATCTTATCTGTCATGTACAATCTTACCTTTATTGTCAGGTGAAGCTCAGTGTTTCTGTCCTTGTACTAGAATCACTCTACTCTGCAGTTTTGTTTACTCTGTTCTAAGACTTCATTAAAAACCCTTCATTATCTGTAAAACCTTTACACATCAGCTCTGTATGTATCACCACTTGAAGATACTGTGATTTTTCATTTTTACTTTAAAAAAGCTTCAAATGTACAAATGTACAAACAGCTTCAGGCAAAAGTATCTGCTTACAACTTAATTTAATTGTTGTTGTTATACTCAATCACTTGAAGAGGGAATAAAGGCCTTTAAATGGCCTCTGAACGAGAGCACTGGACCAGCAATGAAGATAAAGTTTATTAATATTGTTTAAATACAGTCATACAGACAGTACATACAGCAAATACAGACACAGTAGCAGTTTTGGAAGTTTAATAAAACAAAGGAATGCATCAATATACTAAATATTATAGAGTCAAACACTGTTAGTGTCATATACTATGCAGTATTTACTTATAACATTATTTGGGTTTAAATGAATGTTTCTGTTATATTCAGTGTATCATAGAGACTCAACAATGTGGATATAAAGCAGTTCTCCAGGTTCAGTCCTACAGGAACCCAGTTTAGAGTTTCCTGCATCTGATTCACATCATTAGCTAATGATCAAGTCCTTCTAGAGCTGAATCAGGTGTGATGGAGCAGGAATAAACTAAACTGTGCAGTGCAGGTGGACTACAGGACCTTAGCGGGAACACTGATCTACAAGATGGGTTTGAGCTCCAGCTGAAAGCAGTGGAATCAGCAGTGTGGATTTCTGCTGGTGGAAGCTTCGGCTCTCAGGAGGCACTCAGAGCAGAATGGAGAGATCTTACACTCATTTCCCTCCTTTTTACTTTAATTAATTTGTTTTCCACTCCATTACAGAATGTGGGCTGACAGCAGTTGCTCTCAGTCTTAGTCCTGAGTGACACCTGATCTGCACAGTTTAGTGGTTTTACTGCTTTAACACAACATGTTTATTCATCAGCTGATCATCCTGACCTTCAGGTGTTGAATGAAGTGTTGGAGAAAAACAGAAACACTAAACTGTGCAGTGAGGGGTTCATCTAGGACTGGAGCTGGAAACATTACAGGATCCAAAATGCACTTCAGAACTGAATCTGAATCTGATACATTCTGCACAGAACGACATCCAGTGAGAGGATTCTGGTGGGTTGAAGATGAGAGAAGAAGGTCTGATAGAACAGCAGATGTTTTCTGTGTTTACTGTTAAGGTTTATACTGGATGAAGGAGCTTTGATGAAGTCTAAACCAACTGTTGTTGTGTTATGAAGCATGAATGACACATGAATGACACTTACAGGTGAGCTGTAACATATTTTCTAAAAAAGGAAATTGGCCAGAATTTCAGAGTGATGTATATTTAGAGTGTGTTGTTAATTATTTAAATGCAATTCCATGAGTTACATGGTAACTTGTGTGGGTTTTTTTGTTTCACAAATAGATACATACCACAATAGATTTTCCATATTCAAACCTCTACTTACAGTTTGGTATTGAGTTAAATATTTATTATTTATTATCAGCACTTTTCACCAAATTTCTCTGCTTGTTTCAATGAAAAACATGTAAGAAGAGGTGTTTCAAGGCACGTACAGTCATAGAGGACCTAGGAGGATTAATGTTATATATTCTGTTACTAAATATATCACTGATATTCATTTCAAATTGCATAAAGTCACAGTAGATCCAGCATAAGGAAGCCTGAATCCAGCATAGAGAGGCTGAGTGAAGGTGGTGTGGGCTGTATGTAGGAGGGTCATTGTGTCAGAGATGCTGTAGAAGGACAGAGTTCCTGCACTGTGATCCACATACACTCCTATTCTGGAGGAGGACGGGGCTGAGATCTTAGTCTGAATGTTGTTGTGATAGAAGGAGAGAGTAGAACCACAGCGAAGACTCCAGGACTGACTGTTGCCTCCAAAATTACTATCTTTGCCTAGTCCTTTCCTGCTGATCCCTTTATATGAGACTGATATGTACAAATTTTCCACACTGCTCCACTCAACCTCCCAGTAACAGCGTCCACTCACACTCTCCTCACACAGAACCTGATACCAGGAGGTAAATCTCTCTGGATGATCTGAGTACGGCTGGACACTCTCACTGCATTTGACCACTCTGCTCTTCTCAGACAGAATGAGGTGAGGATTCGCTGTGTTGGGATCCAGAGTCAGCTGACAGAAATCTACAGAAGAAGAAGAGTCTAATTTACATGGATTGGATGTTTTTACTGTACATTAACAAAGATTTCAGTAAAATTCAGTAATTTCCTTGAACAGTGTCACGCATCCTCCGAGTACCTTGTTGGATTGGGACGCAATCTCCCAGAGGACTCCTCACGTGACTTCACGCTCCTATCAACGCTCTCGTTCACCTGAATTCTAATGTGTGTCACCTGTGTTCTTGATCATATGTTAACCCTAGTTTAGTTTATAAACCCGGGCTTTAGCATAGGGACTTTGCGAGATATTGTATCCACTGCGTGATCTACTAAGCGTTCATTCCATTGTATGTTTTTCGTGTATGACCTTTGCCTTTCGTTTCCCGACTTTGCCCTTTTTTGCTCTGCCTTTCGGATTATTTGCCATTGTGTACGATCTCTGATTTTTGACCTTTCGCCTGTATTCCTAACTACGTTTTTGCCTCTCCCTTTTTGGACATTTCGCCTGGTGTTATGATTGAGTGTTTGCTTCTTTTGTGCTTTCTGGAATTGACCCATGCTTGTTTTGTGACGACGACTTTGGATTGTGATTCTATCAGTAAAGCCTCCTTTGCGTTTTACATCTGCGAGCGTCTGAATCTGCTTGGCGCGTTACAAACAGTGATGCTCATAAGTTATCATACGTTTACATGAACAAGCTCAATTTAGCTAAATACAACTAACTAACTAAACCAAATACACAGAGAAACAAGTAAACAGATAAACATAATTACAATGACCAGAGACTAAAAATGACCAGTTGGAAAATGGGAGTGGTAAAACAGTGTATTGCACTGATTTTTTTACTGAAACAGGTCATATTTACAGTCCTAACAGTGCGTGTGTGTGTGTGTGTGTGTGTGTGTGTGTGTGTGTGTTACGTACACTGTAGAAAGTCTTCTCTGGTTTGTGGTTCTGACAGTAAGATCTGAACTGCTGCAGCTGTGGAGACACAATACAATAAAGAATGAGCAGCTACAACACAAAGACTAAAGAACATTTAGAACAGGATTACAGGAACACTTTCATATTTAATGCAGTGTAAAACTGTCTGCAGTGTTGCTGCAGTTCTTTTTCTCTCTGAAACATCTCTCAGTAATGCACCTCATCACAGATCAGTTGGTGTCACTTTCTTTTACAGTCCTTTGAGTTCTAGGTATTGACCAGGTAAGTGTGAGGCACAAACTCCAAAGTTCTAGATTACATGATGGTAAGTTCTTCAAGGTAGTCTAACTAAATTACAATGGACCGCTCAACAGGTTCTAGGTATTAACTGGGTGAATATGCAGGGGTTACCTTAATCCCTACTAAAGTAAGTTTACTGTTAGTAAGAGCACCACAGACCTACTGGCCAGAGTTTATGGGAACCTACAACCTGACTAGATTTCCCGCATCCCAACCTTATACGGCCACATACCTCCAAAACAGACAATGCTGTATTTTATATGTTAACTAAAGTAGCTGACAAGCACCTGCAATAAAACACACGCAACAGTTTTTATTTTTAGCTGCCATGTTACTCCTAAACAATGAAGTAAGAAGAAAAAAAAGGACACAGAACCTATTTTAGAACACAGAACCTGTTTAGCTAGGATTACGTATTAATTAGGTACCAGGTGGTTATATAACGCAAGAAGATTGTACACAAATAAAGTACAAGATTCGTACATGTTATTTACCTGTTTATTAATTATTAACAAAACTAAATCTGGGCTGTATGAGAACATAATGTTTCTTACTGTGGTTTTACTGGGTTCTTATCACCAACATCAGTAACATAACTTTGCATTTTGTGCCATCACTGTAAGCCATATACCTTCCCTGATACTTGGAGGTGTTTCTGATTTACTTTCCTGCTTAAATGTGTGATGTTCCATTAGTTAGTGTATGTTTGTATTGATCACCTAATTACTCCAAATATTTATGACGTATTTTACTGTGTACTTTCTCAGCTTGATATCTAGAACCTGTTAGTCATTTCAGTGTAATTTAGTTCAACTCTGAATGTACCATCATGTTACCCAAATCAATAGTGTTGTACTTGTACCTCACGCTTAACTAGTTAACACCTAGTCGGATAAAATAAATTGTTACTGATAAGTTTTTACCTGAACATGTATGTTTCATGTGGTTTGCCATATTGTTTTATACACATGTGATTATTCAGTGTTGCTGCTAAGATTTGAGTGGCACATTCGAATGGAAACAATCCAGCAGATCATGATCACTGTGTGTGAGTGTGATCTCTCTATGAGAGCGTAATAATGTCAGGGTTCTCAAAGCCTGAACATTTCTGTGTATCTAAGCTGATATTACAGAACATACATCAGCAGAGTTAAAGCTAAATCATTAAACTGTGGAGTGCTGTGTCCTCCAGATATAACACTCCACCCACCCCACTTCACTCTGCTGCTGACCAAACATCATATTTCACAGCAGGACAGCTCCTCTTACCATGTGGAGAGATTCTGTTGAGTGTCTCTTCACAGAATTCTTCCAGTTGCTTCTTCAGATCAGACAGAGAATTGCTCACTTTATCAAAT